TATATATATATATATGATTAGGTAAAAGCTAATTAAAGAGAAAAGACCCAAAGTCGTCTAGTCACCAGAGGCTAGGACCTAAGTTTTTATATATATATATATATTTGAAAAATGTTATAAAATATATTTATATATTAAATTTAACATATTGTTAATATTTAAAATATATTGTAAGGTTGTTCGGTTCGGGAATTTTTCGGTTTTTTTCATAAATTAAAAAGACCATCCCAATTGTTCTGGACGGTTATACACTTAAATAAAAGTCCACGGTATTATTAAAAAATAGCATAAACTATTCGGCTCGGTTAGGTTTGGTTGGTTCGTTCGGTTTTTTATATTCTTGTGACACCCCTAGCTGTTAGTGGACTAAGCAATTACTTTCTAGTTGTTGTTTCTCATAGAAACGTGTTTTAGTAGTTCCTAGTTTTTTAGGTATCAATTATTGTTTGTGGTTAAGTTATTTCCTTTTCTTTAGGAGTGGGAGAAGGTGGTTTGTTGCTTGGTTTATCTATTTAAGAGTCCTGTAATTAGGTTTCATCTGCAACAAAAATAGAAATTTCTGTTTGCCTTCAATATTCTCTCTATTTTTTGTTACTTTTCTTAACATTTGGTATCCGAGCCAGGCTGAGAGTTCCTCAAATCGTGTGTGAGTGTTGGGCATTGCTTATTGAAAGTTCTTTTTCTTTAAGTACTATTGTAGCAATAAAACATGGCATTTGAAAGTTTTGTTCAACCAAGTATTCCACGCTTTGATAGTCATTACGACCATTGGAACATGTTGATGGAGAATTTCCTTAGGTTCAAGGAGTTTTGGTTAGTTGTTAGTACTGGCATGCAAGAGCCAACAACTAGTACTGCTTTGTTGGAAGCACAAAAAACAGAGTTGGATGGTCTAATACTTGAAAGATCTTAAAGCAAAGAGTTATCTTTTCCAAGCTATTGATCGCTCAATATTGGAAACTATTCTTTCCAAGGATACTTCTAAGCAAATATGGGATTCCATGAAGAAGAAGTATTAGGGAACGGCAAAGGCAAAAGGGCACTATTGCTATCTCTTCGTGCTGATTTTGAGACTCTCACTACAACAAAAACAACTTTCAGCGACAATAAATATAGACATTAATAAAGAGTGCTAAAGTCTTTTAACGGCATTAGTTAAGTGCCATTAGAACCAATGTCGCTAAAAGGCTTTAGGGACAT